TTTCTCCAATCTTCTCAAAACTCTGGATTTATGATAGAGGGCTGTGAGACTTTGACCTGAGTTGCAAAAATGGAGGCTCTAGACCCTTCCAGAGCTGAGATATCGAAATTCAAAATTTCGACCCGAAAAAAAAACGACAGTGTTACCCCTTTCGTTTTTTTTTTCATTTCTCGGGCGAAAAATTAAGTTTCTCCAATCTTCTCAAAACTCTGGATTCTGATAGAGGGCCACAGACTTTGACCTGAGTGCAAAAATGGAGGCTCTAGGCCCTTCCAGAGCTGAGATATCGAAATTCAAAATTTCGACCCGAAAAAAAAAACGACAGTGTTACCCCTTTCGTTTTTTTTCATTTCGGGGCGAAAAATTAAGTTTCTCCAATCTTCTCAAAAACTCTGGATTCTGATAGAGGGCCACGAGACTTTGACCTGAGTGAAAAAAATGGAGGCTCTAGACCCTTAGCTGAGATATCGAAATTCAAAATTTCGACCCGAAAAAAAAACGACAGTGTTACCCCTTTCGTTTTTTTTCATTTTTGGGCGAAAAATTAAGTTTCTCCAATCTTCTCAAAACTCTGGATTATGATAGAGGGCTGTGAGACTTTGACCTGAGTGCAAAAATGGAGGCTCTAGACCCTTCCAGAGCTGAGATATCGAAATTCAAAATTTCGACCCAAAAAAAAACGACAGTGTTACCCCTTTCGTTTTTTTCATTTTTGGGCGAAAAATTAAGTTTCTCCAATCTTCTCAAAACTCTGGATTATGATAGAGGGCTGTGAGACTTTGACCTGAGTAAAAATGGAGGCTCTAGACCCTTCCAGAGCTGAGATATCGAAATTCAAAATTTCGACCCGAAAAAAAAAACGACAGTTTACCCCTTTCGTTTTTTTCGTTTTGGGCGAAAAAATTAAGTTTCTCCAATCTTCTCAAAACTCTGGATTATGATAGAGGGCTGTAAGACTTTGACCTGAGTGCAAAAATGGAGGCTCTAGACCCTTCCAGAGCTGAGATATCGAAATTCAAAATTTCGACCCGAAAAAAAAAACGACAGTGTTACCCCTTTTGTTTTTTTTTCATTTTGGGGCGAAAAATTAAGTTTCTCCAATCTTCTCAAAACTCTGGATTCTGATAGAGGGCCACGAGACTTTGACCTGAGTGCAAAAATGGAGGCTCTAGACCCTTCCAGAGCTGAGATATCAAAATTCAAAATTTCGACCCGAAAAAAAAACGACAGTGTTACCCCTTTCGTTTTTTTTTTCATTTTCGGGCGAAAAAATTAAGTTTCTCCAATCTTCTCAAAACTCTGGATTATGATAGAGGGCTGTGAGACTTTGACCTGAGTGCAAAAATGGAGGCTCTAGACCCTTCCAGAGCTGAGATATCGAAATTCAAAATTTCGACCCGAAAAAAAAACGACAGTGTTACCCCCTTTCGTTTTTTTCATTTTTGCGCGAAAAATTAAGTTTCTCCAATCTTCTTCAAAACTCTGGATTATGATAGAGAGACTTTGACCTGAGTGCAAAAATGGAGGCTCTAGACCCTTCCAGAGCTGAGATATCAAAATTCAAAATTTCGACCCGAAAAAAAAAACGACAGTGTTACCCCTTTCGGTTTTTTTCATTTTCGGGCGAAAAATTAAGTTTCTCCAATCTTCTCAAAACTCTGGATTATGATAGAGGGCTGTGAGACTTTGACCTGAGTGCAAAAATGGAGGCTCTAGACCCTTCCAGAGCTGAGATATCAAAATTCAAAATTTCGACCCGAAAAAAAAACGACAGTGTTACCCCTTTCGTTTTTTCATTTTTGGGCGAAAAATTAAGTTTCTCCAATCTTCTCAAAACTCTGGATTATGATAGAGGGTGTGAGACTTTGACCTGAGTGCAAAAATGGAGGCTCTAGACCCTTCCAGAGCTGAGATATCGAAATTCAAAATTTCGACCCGAAAAAAAAACGACAGTGTTACCCCTTTCGTTTTTTTTCATTTTGGGCGAAAAATTAAGTTTCTCCAATCTTCTCAAAACTCTGGATTATGATAGAGGGCTGTGAGACTTTGACCTGAGTGCAAAAATGGAGGCTCTAGACCCTTCCAGAGCTGAGATATCGAAATTCAAAATTTCGACCCGAAAAAAAAAACGACAGTGTTACCCCTTTCGTTTTTTTCATTTTTGGGCGAAAAATTAAGTTTCTCCAATCTTCTCAAAACTCTGGATTATGATAGAGGGCTGTGAGACTTTGACCTGAGTGCAAAAATGGAGGCTCTAGACCCTTCCAGAGCTGAGATATCGAAATTCAAAATTTCGACCCGAAAAAAAAACGACAGTGTTACCCCTTTCGTTTTTTTTCATTTTCGGGCGAAAAATTAAGTTTCTCCAATTTTCTCAAAACTCTGGATTCTGATAGAGGGCCACGAAACTTTGACCTGAGTGCAAAAATGGAGGCTCTAGACCCTTCCAGAGCTGAGATATCGAAATTCAAAATTTCGACCCGAAAAAAAAACGACAGTGTTACCCCTTTCGTTTTTTTTTTTGGGCGAAAAATTAAGTTTCTCCAATCTTCTCAAAACTCTGGATTATGATAGAGGGCTGTGAGACTTTGACCTGAGTGCAAAAATGGAGGCTCTAGACCCTTCCAGAGCTGAGATATCGAAATTCAAAATTTCGACCCGAAAAAAAAACGACAGTGTTACCCCTTTCGTTTTTTCATTTTTGGGCGAAAAATTAAGTTTCTCCAATCTTCTCAAAACTCTGGATTATGATAGAGGGCTGTGAGACTTTGACCTGAGTGCAAAAATGGAGGCTCTAGACCCTTCCAGAGCTGAGATATCGAAATTCAAAATTTCGACCGAAAAAAAAACGACAGTGTTACCCTTTCGTTTTTTCATTTTCGGGCGAAAAATTAAGTTTCTCCAATCTTCTCAAACTCTGGATTATGATAGAGGGCTGTGAGACTTTGACCTGAGTGCAAAAATGGAGGCTCTAGACCCTTCCAGAGCTGAGATATCGAAATTCAAAATTTCGACCCGAAAAAAAAAACGACAGTGTTACCCCTTTCGTTTTTTTTCATTTTCGGGCGAAAAATTAAGTTTCTCCAATCTTCTCAAAACTCTGGATTCTGATAGAGGGCCACGAAACTTTGACCTGAGTGCAAAAATGGAGGCTCTAGACCCTTCCAGAGCTGAGATATCGAAATTCAAAATTTCGACCCGAAAAAAAACCGACAGTGTTACCCCTTTCGTTTTTTTTCGTTTTCGGGCGAAAAATTAAGTTTCTCCAATCTTCTCAAAACTCTGGATTCTGATAGAGGGCCACGAAACTTTGACCTGAGTGCAAAAAATGGAGGCTCTAGACCCTTCCAGAGCTGAGATATCGAAACTCAAAATTTTGACCCGAAAAAAAAAAAACGAAAGGGGTACCACTGTAGTTTTTTTTTTCGGGTCGAAATTTTGAGTTTCTCTGATCTTCTTGAAACTCTGGATTCTTATAGAGGACCATGAGACTTAGACCTGAGTGCAAAAATGGAGGTTCTAGACCCTTCCAGAGCTGAGATATCGAAACTCAAAATTTCGACCCGAAAAAAACCCCGAAAGGGGTACCACTGTCGTTTTTTTTTTTCGGGTCGAAATTTTGAGTTTCTCTGATCTTCTTGAAACTCTGGATTCTGATAGAGGGCCATGAGACTTAGACCTGAGTGCAAAAATGGAGGCTCTAGACCCTTCCAGAGCTGAGATATTGAGATCCCACGTAGCGTTTATGCCATTATGCACCATTCTCCCATTTTTTAGCCCCATCTCCCGGACCCCTCCCTGTTTGTTATTTCTCCTGGGAAACTTCCGTTATTTGCATGGCCCAAACTCCTTTATGAATAATCGGACCAATATGTTTGTCTAATGTTGACCAGTTGCCAGATGTTGTATTAAATGCATTATATTCACACAATCCACACACCATATACAATTTCAACCCATTTGTCACCTCAACCTGGCAACCTATACCCCAGTTGCGGAGTCACAGAAAGCGAGCAAAACCCGCCAAACTAAAACTAGATTTAGATATAATCTAATTATTTTGTTGCCATTTTTTTAGTCAAAAGGACTCTGTGAAATACCATGTGAAATACCATGCATATTAATAGACACCTTTTTATGACCTCTAATAATCCCAATGATAAACAATAACAATTCACAGGAGACAATGAACTTTTTCTTTTATTTATTACAAATGTACAGTTTACGAGTCTTCATTACGATTTAAATGGTTTTGCTTAGTCTTTTTATTTTAAATTCTATATCTTACAGGTAGCCTCTGCTAAACAAATTTCTCCCATCAGCTAATCTCTCATGTAAGAACAAGTGATAACAAAAGTCATAACAAGTACAGTGCAGCTATGACAGATCACAGGAGGAGAGAGAGAGAGAGAGAGAGAGAGAGAGTGTGTGTGTGTTGTGCATTCGTTTTTAAAAATGATTTCGCCATGTATGCATCTGCAGCAGGATGACTATGTCTACCTACTACCTTAAAAGGAATCAGATTCAGAGTTGGATTACATAGTGTGCATTGACTCCCTTTCCCAGATACCAATCTGAATTTAGTGCTTATTAAATAATATCCCAATCTCTTTCTCCCAAAGTCATCATCACAGTAAGCCATCACTCAGTGACCGTTCCTGACATGTTTAGTTTAAAACGAAAAAGAAACGTATTTCTGCATACACGGTTTTTACTCACCATGTGCTTCTAGTGTGGAAAAGTGTTACTTGAGTACTGATTAAAATCAGTCTAGCAGATGTGCAAAGGCAATGATAAGAGATTTTCAGACAATCTTTTTGACACATTTTCAGGGGACACAAACATTATCCCATTCCCCAAGTTAAAGAAACAAAAAGCAAAAGCAAACAAAAAATGGCTTAACTTAAAAGGCTGGTGGGTAAAACCAACATGGAAAACAACAGGAAGATTAAGGCCCATAGCATGACATCTAAAATGCAAAGTGACTGTCCAACAAATACGTGACCGTGCTCACACACAGGTGTGGCATCAAGCCTCAGGTGGAGAACCGTTCATCTACATGTGCGTTGGTACTGGAAGCTCCAGTTCAATTTCTCTTCCCATGAACATCGCTATAACAAGGGTCTCAATCCCCCACCCAAGTGACCGCGATCACACCGACTGATGCCACAGAATGTGACTACGCTGGTCCTGATGCAGCAGATGGACAGCACATGTTTTCCCTGTGACTGTATCTGAAATGTTAGTGATGAGAACATTGATAGTGGTCATCTTCAACCATCAACATTCACATGTTTGTAGCTTATAGAACATAAGGATCTTCTTACATTTAATAAAGACATGATTAAAAGAAATTATGAAATTTAAAGAACAGCGTGAAATCAAAATCAAATATTCTCAAATGGAAACACCACAGACACAAAAAAAAAAAGCCTGGTCCTGAAGTAAAGAGTCGTCTTTACTCCGCTAAACTGATGAAGGCCATTCGATTCAGTCAATAATGTGCAGAAAATGAAGATATGGTGTCTTCATGGTGTCCTAATCTAATAAGCTGAAGACAATGTGATAATTGTGCTAACACATTTGCATTGTTCTGATAGCAAAATCCATTAATGTTGGGGTTGAGATGAGATGAGAGGAGCCAGGATGAGATCCGGCGAGCCTTTTCTGTACATCAACCCCAACTGTTGTCTTTGTGCTCGAAGAAAAAAAAAGAAAATAAGAAGAGGGATCAGCAACCCCCCACTTTGGCTAGTGTTCAACGCACTTTGACAACAACAACAAAAAAGAATGTAGTATATATTGTAAAACACTGTGTGAGTGAACCAGTGCTTCTGCCACTGGAGGACGGGAGTGTTCTGGTTAGTTTTCACAGGTTATTGTTCACTCCTGTTAATGTTCGCAAAGCTCTGTGTGATTTCCACTTGACAAACCAAAACAAAAATCAAAAAAAGACATCAATAATGGTAACAATAATGCAAAACATAAGTCATAGTCATTAAAATAACTCCAGTGTTGTTGTTTAAAGTCAGTACATTTGTCCCAAGAGAAACAGGCCAATGGAGCGGCACTTAAAAACATCAAATGAGAGAGCGAGAGAGAGAGAGGAAAAACTGAAAATAGGCAATTCAGGAGGAACATTTCAGGTTCTCTGATGTTAGGAGTGCTTGAGTATTTCACAAAGAGAACCAAACAGTAGCCATAGGCACTGCTTGTGTAGTGTTGTCATGTGTTGGCGAGAGAAGATCCTCCTGAAAAACAGAACTGAAAGAAGAAAAGGAGTGTAAGGAAAACCAGGCCGCTCCATTCGGCTTCTCCCAAATCTCTGCGTCCGGGTGGCCAAAGCTGGATTGATCACCCATACATTAGACTTTTCTTTTCTCATCTTCGTTCCCTCACATCATTTTTCTATCTACCTGACCAACAATTCCCAGCCGTCAGTTTTTACTTAGTATCCTCCTCCCGCTTCTCAGTCTTTTCCCGGTGGGTCACTGTTTTTTCTCGCGGGTAGTGATGGTGACCAGCTGCTTGGCAGCTTTGGCGATGTCGTAGGCGCACTGGATGACCTGCTGGGTGAGCAGCTGGTAGTCCACTGTGCTGGTCGACGAGTCAGAGGGCGCCGCTTTACGACACTCTACCTGCAGGCGGGACGCACTGGCCCCCAGGAGCTTCAAAGAGGAACGTACTGCATCCAGCGCTGGTCTCTGAGAGAAGCAGACACAACAGATTTAGTTGGTCTGGCTGGATATCTTGAGGCAAAGTATGACCATAAGACGCAATCACTCACCTTGGGAAACAGCGAGGCCATTTCTGTCACAGCTAAGTGGATTTTCTCTGAGCATGGCACAAAACTGCAACCAAAGATAGATGTTACAACGGGTTTCTTTCAAACTGCAGCGAAACGACACTGCAACCAGCTGTGAGGGGCAACAGTCCATCCTACCTGTCATGTTTAAACTCCTGTGCAGCTCTCAGGAGCTCCTGGATGTTCTTGGTGACCTGCTCAGTTTTGAGGATGACGTCCTCTGTGCAGGGCAGTGTGGGGTCAGGGTCGCCCTCTGTGTCTTCCACTTCCCCCCTGCTGTCCTCCTCACTGCTGCGGCCCACGCTACAACACACCATATGAACACAATAAAACAAACATTTCCATACAAAAGGCATGAAATGTATCGTTAGTGGGTTTTTAAGTTTCAAAAAGCTTAGTAATAACTAATTGTTTTTATAACTAATTTAAAAAGACAAATATATTACTATTTTACAACAAAATATTTGTAATAACTATAATAATAATGTATTACTTATTACACTATTACATTCATTTTTTTATAATAACTGTTAATACTTATTATATTGCATCATATTATATAGCAGTATCTTATTTATTTTTTATAAGAGAAATGTGTATTACTATTGTAAAATGACTGCTATAAAAAATAAATCTAATAGTTCCAAAAGTATTGCTAATATTATTATTAGAGGCAGTATGAAGAGTAAAACAACATTAATATAACGATAAAAAGACAAAAATGAATTAAAAAGACAAATATTACTTTTAAAATATAAAAAGACAAATATTACAATATACAAATATTAGAATATAAAAAGACAAATATTACTTTTTTTTTGCAAAATAAAAAAAATAATTAACAATATAAATGTACAACTTTTGTAATATTACTAGTAATCCCTCAAATAATTAAATAAGTTATTTTAAGTATTTTTTATAGTCAGTTATTACCGATATTTCATATTATGTAGTGATTTATTACAAAAATAGAAAAATATATTATGTACATAAAATATGATGTACATTCCTTTATTTAAATAGAAAAAATAATATTAATATATAAATATGTAAATTAACTTTTACTAATTTATGTAATTCAAGCAATTACAAATGAATCAAAAGTACAACAGTAATACTTTAAGCAATATATTTCTTCATGCGTTAAGGGCCGTTCACACCAAGAATAATAACTTTAAAGCAGGATGGATTCTGATTGGCGTCAATGTTTTTAATCAATCATCAGCTAGAAAAAAAATCTGAAAGCAATTCCAAGGATATAGTTCCTCTATGCAGTTATCGTTACAGTTGTGGTTTGGAATATTTTTTAGAACAATTTTTAGAACCATCTTATTGTTATAGAATTCGTCCTTGGTGTGAATGGGCCTTTAGACCCAGTTAGACAGTTTTTGCAAATGAAATGCAGTAGACTTCTTTCCACAAAAATGCATCAAATGACGCTCTGCTTTATTTCAATGGTGCCTTGTACTCACCCAAAGGAGACGTCGTATGTTTGAGAGTTGTCATAGTCACTATCAGTACCACTTCCGTATCTCTCTCCTGCTTTTGGAGTCTGTACAGGACAAACACACACAAGAGGTCTGTTACACATCACAGTCTGCAACTCGCATGTCAGTGCATATATGAATGGAAACTGGCACTCACGTTATATCGTCCATCAGTGGAAGCTGACAGGTGCGGTCCTCCATAGGGGGTGGGACCCGCAGGGCCTGCCCTTCGCACCTAAACACAAGCAGAACCAGATTAAGAGGAGGAGAAAAGCTGACAAGCTACTTGCAGGCAGAGGATGAAAAGAAAAGAAGAAGCCTTGATGGTCTTTTCTGCACAGGACTGTTAGATGGAAGGAAATCTGCAGCAAAAACGCTGTTATACTAATGACTGTAAATAGCTTAGTGTAGCGCTTTTAGATATTGCAGTTGCAGAACAGCAAGCATCTACATTAAGCTCAAAAGCAAAACTGAATTAGAACAACGACATCCTTTTCTCTGAACTAATCAAAATACTAAAAATAGAAACGCACATTACATTACTTGGAAAACTGTGCAATTAACAGGCACAAAGGTGGATCTCAAATACACCACCACAGACTTTCAGAAATAGCCCAAAATTGAATATTGCATTATCAAAACATGGCATATTTGCATAATTGCAAAAGCAATTGAAGCAAATCAAAACAATGCATTCAAAAGACATTCAAATATATCCTACATATCTAAAAATATCCACAAACAAGGGATGATTTCCAGTTTCAGAGCTGACAGGAGCAGCACATGGATTCAGATGTGGCATGCAGTTTTAGTGTCACTAATCAGGAAAACAATAAATCAAATTTCAAACATTCCAGACACGACACGTTGCACAAGACAAGCATATCTCAATGAGAGCCTCTCTTGGCATAGTAACAATTTTAGGAAAGATACAAAGCCACTCATGCCAGTTCTATCATCCTATGCTACATAGACAATCTATAGTGGTTGTGTCTCAAAATGTATTGAGCTGCCTACCTAAGCAGCCTTTTTGAGCATCATAGGCAAACCTGGTATTAACATCTGTTTTGGGTGAGCAAAGACAGATTGTGATCAGATGTTATTGAGAGGAGGTATTTGTAATAATAATAACTACATTACACGAATAAATACATTAATTAAAAATTCTGCATGTTAAAGGGATAGTTCACCCAAAAACTAGCATTGTCATCACTCACCCTCAAGTTGTTCTAAATCTGTATGAGTTTGACAGTGGATGCACCGCAGTGACTTCCATATAAGGAAAGAAATGCTATGGAAGTCAATGGGGTGTATCAACTGTTTAGTTACCAACATTCTTTAAAGTATCTTATTTAGTGTTCAACAGAAGAAAGAAACTCATACAAGTTTGAAACAACTTGAAGGTGAGTAAATGATGACAAACTTCTTTGGGTGAAATATTCCTTTAATAAATCTAAGGAATTAAAAAAAGTCTAATTAAAGTTCTGCAAAAAAGTAATAAAAAGCAAAATGTCAAAATGTACTACAGACTTTCAGCAGTTTGCAATGAACAAATCAAAGAAAAGTAATTAAAATAGCTCAACAGAACAAATGTTTCAAGTGGTTTCCCCAAATTCAACTGAAAATGCTACTTTTAATGACTTCTGCAGTCTCAAAGTTATTCAACCCCTTCATGGCAAGCAACTTTAGTACCCTTTTGCTGTTACAACCTGCTGCAAATGAGATGTATAACCAGACACCAGATTCTGGCAGCGTTTCTGAGGAATCTTAGTCCATTCCTCATGAGCAATGGCCTCCAGTTCAGTAATATACT